GGGAAGTGTGCTTAGAAAAGCTTAAGCCTCAGTCCCCCCATAAGTCATGAAGTAATTTGTCATCAGAAGAGGGTCACATTGCAATCAAGTTTGTGAGACTGTTCCAGGCAGAGAGCTTTCCCATGGACTTAATTCACCAACAAATCAGCAGTAGCTTGGTTGGCAGGAGATGCTCCTCCACCCACATAGCACTGCACACCAGCAAGTGTGCTTAGAAAAGCTTAAGCCTCAGTCCCCCCATAAGTCATGAAGTAATTTGTCATCAGAAGAGGGTCACATTGCAATCAAGTTTGTGAGACTGTTCCAGGCAGAGAGCTTTCCCATGGACTTAATTCACCAACAAATCAGCAGTAGCTTGGTTGGCAGGAGATGCTCCTCCACCCACATAGCACTGCACACCAGCACTCAGGTCTGTGCAACATGCACCACTCAGTGGGTTGCCTGCACTGCCATTTGAGCAACTGCAGCTTTTGGAGAGAGGAAGGGCCAGAGTTCATGGCTCGTTAGATAGATCACTGGATTTCGCTTATGGAGTGCTATCCTCCTCACCACACAAATTAAGGAAGAGGCCCTACACCCAAACCAGTCTGCAAACAGCTCATCCATTTCCCTCACAGGTTCATCCTCAGAATATATTAAAACAAGTCAAAACACCCCACCCCTCCCCAAATCACGCAGGCAGAGCGCGTCGAGGCTTTTCCCCTGCTGTTCCTTTGGCACCTCACAATGTTACACTTATACCCATCGGAACAAGTTCCTCTCTGCTCTTCAGCAGCATTACTAGGAATGATCCAGCCCATTTTACTGAGCAACTGGGCAGAAGCCAAGGGACAGTTTGGGAAGAGGCCCGATGTATAGCCAGTGTTCGAAGGAGAGGACGAGGTTCAGAGGACACGAGCGGTATCCGCGCTGTAGCCCTCTAGAGGGCGTCTCTCATCACAAGGCGGGTTAAGGAGCAACGTGGGTTCAGCTCCGCCTGGGGCCGGCGGAACAGCAGGTGGGTTTGTTGCAAGGCCGCTTGCAGTGCACCGGAGCGCCTGTCCCTACTGCGACTGCTGGCTACAACCTCGCTCAGCGGCTCGTTGCTACTCATTTCTTCCGCCTCCCTCACCCCGGTGCAAGCAGCTACGTTGTGCACATATGCCCTGCACGGGAGAGGGGAACTCGGCTCCTCCGTCAGGGGTGATCAGGAATGAGGTTTAGTCCCGAACTGTCCCCTGCCCCAGGTCACCCCTCCCCCCACGACCTCTGCGACAGCCACTAACCTTCACCTTCTTGCCATCGAGCTCCAGCGAGCGCACGGTGAAGTCCACCCCGATGGTGTTCTGCTGCTTCTCGTGGTACTGTCCCGACTTGAAGCGATGCACCACGCAGGTCTTCCCGACGTTGGAATCCCCGATCAAAATGATCTTGAACAAGTAGTCGAAGGCTTCTTCGGAGCTGGAGCTGGAGAAGGGCATCATCCTTCCCCGGGCTCAGCCTCTCCCCCTGGCAGAGAGCGCAGAGACAACATTCAAAGCCCTGAGCGCCCCAGAGCAATGGCCAGGTGGCGCGAGAACAGAACCCGCACAGCTCTTGGGCAGCGGGCACATCCATACCCAAATGGCAGGGAAGGACACGGCTCTCTCCCAGAGCAAGGAGCATCCTGGCAGATGAACAGCCTTTCCTTCCAGCCCAAGGAGTCTGCCTTATTTTTGGAGAGTCACTTTTGGGGAAAGTTAAAAGCCTTTGGGGTCAGTTTAAAAAAAAAAACCAAACAAACACTCGACTAGCTTCCCTTCCCGCTTTCCTCCTGGTGTTTTGCAGTGGCTTAATCAAAGAAAAATACCCACACTATTTCCGGAAAGCGCAGCTTCAGCTCCACATCCGAGCGTATTGAAGCCACGTGTCTCCCCTGCCCTCTTTCCCCGCACTGAAAGGAGTCCATTTTAGCGGGTTTTCTGCTTTCTTCTTTCACAACTTCTCCTGCAGGGGGGTCGCTCTCCGCTCCGCCTACTTCAAGGCGGGCGAGCGAGCATTACTGAGACACTGAGCCTCAGACAGCCACAAGCAACCAAGCCAAGTTCTACGCCCCTTCCCCCGCCTAAGTTTACTCACCTGTTACTCACCCCTTTCTTCTACCTGTGTGAACAGGTATAGCACTCTTTGTACCCTAGCCCGCCCCTTCTAGCCTCTTCTCCTCTTCCCCCCGGCTGCTGGGAAATGTAGTTCACAGGTAGAGCGGCTCAATGCAGCTTCTTCTAGCCGCCCCTGAGAAACGTGCTGAGAACCACAGAACAGTACCACCTAGCAAGCCACTGTGCGAACAGGTCCTTGCCAAGTCTCCCCCCCGCCCCTAATATTACTTTCTGGATTACAGGAAGACTAATGTGACTGGAGCTCAACAACCACCCACAATGCAGCTTCTGGGTGGATGGCTGAGTCAATCCCTCCCCCCCTATTGATGTGCTACCTCTCTGCAAGGTGTAGTAGCAGAGTCTCCTTAAATAGCCGGAGTGTCTGTGCGTGACATGTGGTAGGGATCAATGAAATGATTAACTTGGGGGTGGGGTCTCCACGCCAGGATGGGCTACTTATTGCGAGAGGGGCGGGGAAAGGGAGCTGAGCGTAGAACAGGACTCTCCCTGCTCAATGGGGGTCGGGCTAAGCGAGGCTCTTCCGGCTCACACGTTGGGAGTTTGCTGGTTGCTTCTGCTGTGGCTTGTGCCCCACCACGTGGGACCGGGCTTGGGGCTCCGCACCGCTGGTGTGTGGGCGGCGCTGCAGTGGCAACAGTGTGACTAGGGGGAGGTACTGCGGGGCTCCCCTTGAAAGTGCCCCCGGCTGTTTTGCGCGTCCTCGCTCAGCCCTCCCAGGCTAAAGGAGCTCTAGGGCCGGAATGGGAGGGGGGTGTCGCTAGTCCCTGTTTGCCAGAGGCTGGGAATAGGTGACCAGGGATGGATGGGCCCCTCAGTGGTGGCCTGTTCACTCCCGGTGCAGCGACCGAAACACTAACGTCTCAGAATGGACCGGGAGCAAAAGGCCCCCGCCCAAGGCAAAACACCAGCATCCCCTGAGTCCTTAGCAAGGAGGTAGCAAATTGAGAGATTTTTCGACCAAAAAACACAGTCCCTCTGAATTTGCAACCAGCCAGCAAAGGTAGCAAGTCCTGAGCAGTTGTACCGAATGTCATGTTTGCATGACAGAAACTGTGACGGTCACAAAAACTGAGAAGTTTCACTTTTTGCCTATACACCGGCCGCTGTCTGCAGAGAGGAGACTGGGCTCCAGGGACCTTTGCTCGGACCCACTGCGGCCCTTCTTACGTTCTGGGGTTTCCTGTCTCTTCCCTGTCCCCGGGGGGCCCCAACACCTGCCCTCCCCCTTCCCCTGGGTGCGCGGGTCTGGCCAAGGCTGGGCAGCAGCACGGTCCCGCCGGCGCTGCGAGGGGAAGGGAAGGGGGCGCTCAGGCGGGCGGAGAAGCGATTGGAGCCGGGCGAGGCGGGGCAGGACTGCAACTCCCAGCAGGCACCGGGAGCGGGCGGGCTTCTCCCCCCCTCCCCACCGGAAGAGACGGGGTCACGTGCCTTCCGCTGGCTGGCCGGGCGCTTCTGGCAGGTGAGCGGTGTTGACGTGGAGGGAGTCGGGGGGTGACTGCTGAGCGCCTGGAAGCGGGAGGTGAGCGCCGGGCCGCGCGCCTGGGGCGGGGTGGGACGAGGCCCCCCCTCCCCCAGTAGAGGGGGCGATCTGCCTGCAGATGCTGTGGGGGGGGGGGTTTCCTGCTGCCCCCCCCCGGGCTGCGCCTCGCTCTGAGCGCGGGCTGCTTGGCCCAGGCGGGGAGCTGCCCCCTCTCCTGCTATGTCTGCGCCGGCTGGGCGGCGTCCCCCTTCTGCCCTCCAGAGCCTCTGCAGACAGACGGCCCCTGGCCCCGCTGTTTTTTGTTACTGTCATTTGGGCTCCCACTTATTGGGGGTGGGGGGGGAAGGCAGTATCCGTATGGCTCAGGAGCTGTCCCTGTGTTCACTTCTCCGAGTTTGGAGCGGGGTCCTTTATCAGCAACAAAACTTGCCCAGGCTCGGTGCTTCAGGAGTGCCTTCCCTGTGAGATCCTCAGAACGCGCTCTGGTCGGTAACCTTTCATGAGGCGTTCCTGACTCTCTTTTAAAAGCCAATAATCCACTTCCTAATGCGTATGGGCAGATCCTTTGTACTAGACATGCGGGCCCTCTGCTGCAGGTGTGAAACCAGGGACAATGCGGTCTCCTTTGGAACAAAGGAGCTGATGACCTCTGAGTGTTCTGGAAGCAGACTGTTTTAATAGCAGTACGCTAAATGGTTACCATGTATTGGAAAAGTTAATGAAATAGCAAGTAACAATGAGATGTAAATACTGGTACTCCATATCAAATCACTTTTTACTAATAATCTGCACTAGTTCCTTAGCACTGGCCCTTTCAATGAAAATTTTATTTTAGTAAACTCTGTTGTAAGAATAGTAAAAAACATTGATTATTCAAAGAAAGTGTTCAAAAATTTAAGTGAAAATTCGCTTAATCTTTGGCATTTTTCATCTCTACTTAGGAATCACTGTAGATATGTGAAGAAATCTCTTGCAATAGCAGTTGAAGCAATTAAAAATGTGGGTGTTTTAAAAATAGAAAATATTTTGGCTTTAGAGCTGACCTGCAAATGGCTTTAGAGAAATCTGCTCTCGGACCTCTGTTTTGTATATGATGGAGAGAGTGAGAGTCTGATGTCAAGAATATTAATTTGGGTGTATGCTAGCGGCTTTGGATGATCACTGGCTGGTATCAGGGATGTTTGTGAGCTTTTAATACCTTAATTGAAGAGGGTATTGAGTCCTTAAAAAAGGCTAGGTCAGAAGGTTGTTTGTTTACACCCATCTTATCAGTTTATTTACACTATTTAACGTCAACAATCTTAACTAAAATACCTTCCCCTCTTAAAGGCTTAACTTTCATTCAGTGAGTTCCTGCCACCTCACTAGTTCTCTAGTTGCCATCTTACAGCCTAGACAGGAAATTAATTCCTAATGTGTAAAAGTCAAGAAAAAAATATTTTAAAAGTGCAGGTCTTCTGTTATACATAATTTATTATGTTTCCCTCACCATCTTTCTGCAGGTCACCTTCAAGAAAGATAGCTGGAGTTGAAAAGCTCCAGGAAAGAGCACCTTAGATACAATAGAGATATGTGAACTATAAATACCTTAGAGGCCATAGGGTCAAAACTGTAGCTAGTCATTGAAAAGGGCTGGGCAACTCTCACCAGTAAAATTTGCATTGACGTACACTAAAGCGGTGTCAAGTAATGGTCACATTTCAGAGCATAGCCAGGGTAGTCAGTAGAGGGACTGAGAGCTAAATCTTGACAGCCAGATGTTTTTGAATACAGGCAGTCCCCGGGTTACATGGATCCGACTTGCATCGGATCCCTACTTACAAACGGGGTGAGGCAACCCCGCACTAGCTGCTTCCCGCCAGCAGACCAGGGAGACGCGAAGCTAGCGCTCCCCCTCCCCCAGCAGACCAGAGAGATGCGGAGCGGCTTTTCTCAGCAGACACCTCAGCTTGAGAATAAAGGACTGAGGGAAGTGAGGTGTGGGAGAATAAAACTGAGCTCTGGAGAAATGTTTGGCTAGAGTTTCCCCTACAATATGTACCAGTTCTGACTTACATACAAATTCAACTTAAGAACAAACCTACAGTCCCTATCTTGTACATAACCCGGGGACTGCCTGTAGACTGTGAAATCTTATTTACCTGTTGGTTTTTATTTTCTCTGGAGTCTGGGCATTGACTATATGTTGACCAAGAAATTTGGACCTGGAGAAAAAAAATTAATGACGTCTGTAAGCTACTCACCTCAAGAAGGATGTTTATCCTGTTCAGTACCATTGGCACGTGCATTGTGAGGAGATTAGCTTTCCTCTACAGCAGTGTTTCTCAAAGTGTTCTGTGGGCCTGCTTTGAGAGAGCCGCTAGCAGGCCTGTGCCGCTTTGTTTACCTAAAGCAGGTGTGGGGAATCTCAGGCCCAGGGGCTGGATGTGGCTCTTGGCTTACCTGGAGCTGACCCCTGAGGCTTAACCCTCCCTCCCCCACCTTTGGGAAGCCTGCACTGGTGCTCCAGTCCCACTGCAGGGATGGAGGATACAAAATCTACTAGGCTGGGCCCCCAGGGCTCTGGTCTCAGTGAGGGGGATTTTTTTCTTTTCTCACGCGTGTGTGGCCCTGAATGATTTTTTTCTGTGGGTCAGTTGACATCCCTGACCTAATGGGTCTATAGCTATGGAACCTCGCGACTCACTTTAGCTCTGGTTCGGGGGAGGGACACCTGCTAGCGGCTTTCCCAAAGCAAGGCAGCGGAGCACTTTGAGAAACACGGTTCTAAAGAACTGAGTATTTTCCATTCCTAGGTAGTAGCAGGGACGTGTGTCGATGGTAGAGATGTAAAATCCTGGTTAATTGGTTAACTGATTAAAGGGGAGGGAAGGTGGTTGGAATGACCCCCTGCTGTAGGCAAGGGCTGCTCCAGTGTCCAGGTTGGAGCAGCCCCTACCTGTGGGGTGCCCAGGCCCAATGCCAGAGCAGCCCCTGTCCAAGGTATGGATGTAAGCAAATATTTGACTATCCAATAATCATATGCTTATCAGGTAATCAAGTAGTGACTCAGCTAGTTGCTCCCCCTACCCACTGCTTCTATCAGAGAGAGGCAGCAAGGAGGGGGAGCAGGGCCTGGTGCTGGGGGAGCCAGCTTAAAAGCCAGTTCCCCATAGCACTGTCTCCGCAGAGGGGCAGGGGAGACAGAGGTGCAGTGGTGAAATGGCACGAGTGGGGACTGCAACCATGGGCCGCTCTTGTACATTTCAAAGGGAGAGGTGCAGCAGGATAGCGAGTGCCCCCCCTTATCGACTACTCAATCCCTAGTCCTAGCCCTCCTCAGGGCTGGAGCAGCCCACTTCCCATGGCAGGTGGGGAGCTGCACCAGTCCCCACCTGTTCACCTTAACCAGATAAACATTCACAGCCTTAATTGAAGAAGAAAGATGGCAGAATATCTAATTTGATGCAGTAATCATTTGATTCTGGATAGCAAATCATATGCCCCTATAAATATGGGAGGTAGCAGGGTCCAGTGGATAGTAGAGATGTAATTGTGCAGTTGATTAACTGATTAACCGATAAGCAAAAGCTTATCCGTTAATGCTACAGACTACACGCATTCCCACCCCCACTCTATCAGTACTAAATTTTTTAGCAGGCTGGCCAGCAGCCTGGTTCACACCGGGTACAGGACTATCCCCACTGCAGCTCTACATTTAAAGTTTATTAGGTGCGAGGCAGGCAGCCTGGCTCAGTTCTGTCTCACGCTAGGTCCAGGAACTCAGAATCCCTCCGGACAGGGTTCAAGTGCATTAGGAGCTGGGCAGGTGAGCAGCCTGTCTTAGTTTCAGCTTGTGTTGGAGGGCTGGGACCTCAGCCCTCCACCCCACTTCCCAGTCAGCAGCTGCTGCCACCTCACGCTGCTGCCCCTGTATCTGAGGCAGCAGCGTTGGGCAACGAGTATCCAGTCCGTGAGGGGAGCTGCTTTTTAAACCCTTCGTGGACCATCTCCCACCTGGTACCCCATGCTGCTGCCTCTGATACAGAGTGGCAGGGAGCTCCTCAGGAGTGGAGCCAGAGCACGTTGGCTGCCAACCCCACCCCTGGGGCCTATAGAATAGTCGAGTAACCAACAAGAATTCACAAGGTTAATCGACTATTCAGTTAACCCAGGGGTGTCCAAACTTTTTTCAAAGAGGGCCAGATTTGATGAAGTGAACACGCGTGAGGGCCGACCATTTTGCCTGACATTCTTTGAACCATTAAAATTAAATGCAAATTAACTATTTTATGCAAAGTTTATTGCAAACGGCATACTTTTCATTTCGTCACATGGATGACAAATCTAAACAGGTGTTAAATCACTCTGCCTTTCATATCTGAAGGCCAGATGAAAAAAAAAATCCAGGAAGCTGAAATATATGTCAGGAACATTGTAAAGTACATTACATATTATTGGTAATAAAGGTTGTCTGTCAACTTTTAAGTTCAAAAAATATGAACAGGAACATAACACCAAGTATACATGTTGTGTCCAAATATATTTATAACTGATTTAGACCAACTGACTTTAACTGAGATTTTACAATGTATTCATCTCAATACATATGGATTCATTGGGGGCCATAAAAGATAGATATTGCCAAATTACCCGTGGGGCCGTATTAAACCGGAACACGGGCCGCAATTGGCCCGCGGGCCGGACTTTGGACATGCCTGAGTTAACCGATATTTAATATCCCTAGTGGATAGAGTGCTGGATTGGGACTCTGGAGACCTGAGTTGTATTCTTGGCTCTACCACTGATCTTCCCCTCACTCCACACATGCCCGTGTAGGAGACTGTGGGCCAATCAGTTCCTCTCTGAGCCTGTATTTCCCTATCTGTACAATGGAAATGATACTGACCTCCCTTTGTGCTTTGAGATCGACTACTATGTGATATATTCCCACTGTACTGGGAAACAGGAGATCTGTGTTCTTTATAGGGATGTAAAATCCTGTGTAAATTGTTAACCAATTAAACTCCAGGGTTAACTGCCCACCACATCACAGGCAGAGCACACTGGAGCAGCCCTCCTACTTGTGGTACAGTGGGCCTGGCTGGGCTAGAGCAGCCCTCCAGATGCTGGTTAACCCATTATCCCAGTAAGCATGCCAGTAAGGCAATGCTTATTGGTTAATCAGTTAAACCTTTACGTCCTATTTCTTTGCCCATGAATAAAATGAGGATAATACTACTTGACTGTCATAGAAGCATTGAGTCCTAACTCATCAGTGTTTGAAGAACACTTTGAGATCTTTGAGGGTGGGGACCTTAACAAAGAAAGTCCTCCAAGGGGGAGCCCTGTTAAGTTGTAACTCCAAAAACAATTAGTAGTCCTGTGGCACCTTAGAGACTAGCAAAACTATGTATACTGAGCTTTCGTGGGCAAAACCCACTTTTTCAGATTAGCTTAAGTGAAGGGGGGAAAAAAGGGCAGTTATAGTGTAAGTGCTGTCATAACTAAGGCTGGCCAGAAAACAAGATTTGTTTCATGGAAAACTTGAGGTTTCAATGTTTGGCTTTGTTCCAATATAGATTAACAACCTACTGAATTATTTTGTGAAAATAACACAAGACTAAGACTTGCCCAATAATCTGGTCTGAACCAGTCTCTTATGTCCTAGGTGAGTGCTCTTTCTGCCAGGCTAATGGCTGTTCTGAGGCACAGGTACAAACTCTGTTTCCTTCCCTCTCCCCAACCAGCCCTATCTGTAACCTTCTGCTAGGATTTGCAATAAAAAATGGTTGTCCCTGTATATTTATCTTTCAAATACTTGGGGCTGAGCTGAAAGCTGGATAGGTGCTTTGCTTATAGAACACTAGGCCACTCAAAGATCATTAGCAGTTAATGGCCTCAATGTATTTATTGCTAGGTGTATGTGCCTTACGAGACCTTAGAAGTAAGATTTTTCTCTTTTAATGGAATCTTTTAAAAAATGCTAGAAGGAAAAGGAACCTGTGGAGTAACCATGAGGCAGAGGGGTTTCCATAAACACTTTGCTTTTCTTCCCTAGGGTTCAGTTGAGAAGTGGTGCAGCTGCCAGTACCCTCAGAAAAGGCAGAGGGAAACTGGATGGTGAGTGTTAAGTGCTCCCAGTTGGATTGTGTGTTTGAAAATTTGAGGTGCATCCATTTTATTATAGTCCTGTCAAACATGCAAAGCATCACAAAGGCATCTACACATGTGAAGGAAGACAGAGGAATGCTATGTTTCTCCTCTCCAGCCATATTCTCTTTGGTAAACTGGCTTTCGGCCCAATTTTCTGTAACCTAAGTCTCCCTGGAATTCAGAATGCGTGCTGGCTTGCAACACTCCCATTGAATGGTTTCTAATTTGATTTGGCTAGCCACTGTTGACAGAGTAAGTCTCTCCACCCTGGTGGTGTTTTAAATGTTTGTATAGCATAGTGTACTGACATTTTTTTAGCCTGCATAAAACAGATGGGAAAGGGAGCATTAACTATCTGAAAATTGACTGGTCATACCAATAGCTACTGATAATAGTCCCAGAGCCCCTTTGTAGTAGGCTTAAGGATATGCGCTTTGGGGAACAATTCAGCCCTGATGGAAAGGAGGGGATGTAGAGCCTAATAGATGTCAGTTAAAATCAGGGGGATTTTTCTGTTTGACTTTGCAGCTGGGAGTATATTCTTACACTAGGAAATATCATCCTTCATAGTTTCTGTAGAACAAGCACTTTTCTCCCATCAGGGGTTACTTGTATTCTTTCATTTTCAGTCACAAACTCCCTGTTTTATTGTCTCCCTGCAATTTCCCCACTTCTAGCAGCTCTGTGTGTGCAGCTGTCACTGTGCCAGGTGCTTTGTGGGACCTTCTTGGTTCATACTAGGTTTCCCCATTGCCCCTATAAGGAGTTGTGTATCTCACTGCAAGGTTTCCACATGCTCCCTCTCATAGGAATGTCTCTACTCTGCAGTGCCCCCATTTTCCTTGGTTTCTTCTGCTAGGGTTTTCAGAAATCACTCTCTTTTAGAGGCTACACACAATATACCCCTTTTCCTGGGTTCAGTTTATACAGCTTTTCCCAAAAGCATTTTTTTGTGTTAGGAGGCTTCTCCCAGTGCTTTCTACCAGGCACTGCCCTCTGTTAATTACCTCAGGCCAGCTATGACTTTGCAGCAGCTTCTCTTTCTGCAGGTCCTTGTCTCTAAGCAGCCTGAGGTTTAGTGGGTAGAGTGGCTCCTCTTACTGTTGAGTCTGTGCCGAGGGCAGAGTCAGGATGTAGGTATTGCAGGCCTTTTCTGCAGAGCTGGCTGTGGTTGTGTGGGAGAGAGGGGAGTTTTCTTGCTCCCTTAAAAGAATAACAGCAGAGGTTTTCTCCAAATACAGACTATTTCCCTGTCCCTGTTCCTTGACTGCCTTCTCTCCCCAAAACTGCCTCTGTCACTTTCCTAGACCCTTGTGTACTAAGCCTTAAAGGGCCTCACTACACGATGGGTGAGTGTTTTAAATGTCCTTAAGGGTTCAGATTCCACCCCACACTCATCCAGGGCAGAGACCCTGTGTGTGCCTTACATTCCTCTCTTTTTCCTACTCACACCAAGTCTCCCTCCTTGCCAAGGGTGCTCTGTGCCGTATTTCACCTCTCCCCCATTCCCACCTTCTTCTGTGTAGCCCCTAGAGTTCCCGGTTCTTCCCATGGCATGTGCTCAGTGTGTTTTCCCCCTCCCTCTGAATTCCTTTTATCTGTACAACAGTGTTCCTTATTCTTCCCCAAGATAGAAGCTCATTGTGAGCCATCTTTTCCCTTCCATTCGCCATGCCTTCCATATCAGGTCCCCTATTCTCCCCCATGGCAGGGGTCCTGTGTAAACCCTCATCATTCCCTTTCACACACTTCCATCCTCTTCATTCCAGGGGATCTGTCTGTCCCTATTCTATATTCACATCTCTGCCACCATGACCAGAGTAGTGTACATTCTCCTCTTCCTTACCTGTATTTATCTCACAAAAAACAATTATCAAAATGTTGAACTATGAGAGAAGAGGGGTGGGGCAAGAGAGGCCTTAGAAAATGCCATTAATTAGTTTTTGTTTTTAATCTAAAGTCAGTTGTAGAGATGCTTGAAACTGTGGCAGGCACTCTGTCCCCCTAATGGCTTTCTGATTTTTCCCAAAATAATGCCTAGACTTTTCCCAGAAATTTTGGAATTGATCAAATGTGAAGTTCAGAAGTGATTGTGTTATATGCAGACAGGCAAACGCAGAACTGCCATTGAGCTGAGCATAAGGTCTTCACCAGCTTGGCTAGTCACAGGTTGGAAGGAACCTCTTGAGTCTAGAAAAACTTAAACAACAAAAACAGGACTATGCAGCACTTTAAAGACTAACAAGATGGTTTATTAGGTGATGAGCTTTCGTGGGCCAGACCCACTTCCTCAGATCAAATAGTGGAAGAAAATTGGCACAACCATATATACCAAAGGATACAATCAAAAAAAAGAACACATAAGAAAAGGACAAATCAAATTTCACTAATACCAACCCTGGAACCTTCCCTGGCAACAAACCCCGTTGCCAGCTTTGTCCACATATTCATTTTTGATTGTGTCCTTTGGTATACAGGCAGTCCCCGGGTTACATGGATCCGACTTACATCGGATCCCTACTTACAAACGGGGTGAGGCAACCCCGCACTAGCTGCTTCCCCCCAGCAGACCAGGGAGACGCAAAGCTAGCGCCCCACCCAGCAGATCAGGGAGACGCGGAGCGGCTTTTCTCAGCAGACACCTCAGCTTGAGAATAAAGGACTGAGGGAAGGGAGGTGTAGGTAGAATAAAACTGAGCTCTGGAGAAATGTTTGGCTAGAGTTTCCCCTACAATATGTACCAGTTCCGACTTACATACAAATTCAACTTAAGAACAAACCTACAGTCCCTATCTTGTACGTAACCCAGGGACTGCCTGTACTGCTTGTTCTGCTCTTTGGGGGTGATCTTATTTTACTAGTAAAACTAGAAAGTACAACTTTGCCAACATTAGGGACTCTTTACCAGTATAGTATGTCAGTATTCCTATACCTCTGAAACATTCCTAGTACACATGGGGAGGATGAGAAAGAAAATGAACTCCATGTGACAAAAAAAAAACAACGGATAGTCTAGCAGCATCTTAAAGACTAACAAAATATGTAGATGGTATCATGAGCTTTTGTGGGCACAACCTACTTCTTTAGATGACTGAAGAAATGTATGTGTTTTGTTAGCCTTTTAAGGCGCTGCTAAAGGCTCTTAGTCTGTAATTGGAAAAACTTAAACAACAAACTCAGCTACCCCTCTGAAGCTCTTGGGTCTAGTTCATCCCCCTGTTTTTTTAGCAAGCACTGTGCACACCTACCTTCCTGTTGTCTCTCTGATCTAGCCTTAAATCTCTAAATAAGATGTGATACTCTTGGATATATTCTTAGTGTCAAAATCCTTTCACTGACAGTACCTTGCAACTGCAGAACGCTGGGGCAGTATGAACATCAATCTGTAGATGGAAATGGTGCGGTGCAGAGAGGTTAAGTGGCTTGCTCATCATGTTGTACATCATGGCAGATGCCAAAATAGGACTAAAACTTAGGGCACAGAATTGGTAAGACAGGAGGCCCATCTACTAGACCCCACCACTGCATAAGCAAGGCTGTCCCTTTTCCAGTTATGTAATTCTGCTCTTTTGTCTATATCTCATTGTTGTCATATTTGCAAAGAAGACATTTAAATCCTAAATCACACGCTTGACTCCAGCAGTTGCTGACAAGAGACAGACACTTGAATGCTGAACTATTGCTTTCAGAACACTGCTGCTTGGCAGTCAGATAACAGTAGCAAATAAGACACTCGTGATCCGTTTGTATGGTGCTAAGAGTGTTCATTCACTGTGTGTCTTTCACTCGGAGCTGTGCAAATCTGAATAGGGGATAGATAACAATTCAGAGGTTGAGAAGAGACCCCCCCTCCCTTTTGGGGAGTTGGTCAGCTAGTGAACACCCTTTAAAACCCAGACAGATTGGACATCAGAAGTATATGTGAAAGAAATGGGTTTAGAGGAGGACTATGAAGGTGCTTGGTGCATGAGAGCGACTGTTCCAGGCATTACTGGTGCCAGGAAAAGAGAAACTGATGAACTGGAAGCAGAGGTCTATAGAATATTGAAGGGCAGTTTAGAAGACTTAAACTTAACTGGAGAAAAGTGGCATAGCATTGTATCTCTTACTGTATTCCAGCTCCTTTGCTGGACCTTGTCTTATACCAGAGCTTTTCTTCAACTTTTTCCCCCTTCTTTTAAGTGAGAAGAGAAATGACCTAAACTAACCTTCCAGCCTGTGAGGCCAAGGGCCAGAAGTAGGGTGAGGCCCGAAGGATGGCTGTGCCTGGAATTTTGAGGAGGCAGCCTGCAAACAGGGCTCTTGTGCCCCAATGCACTCACCATCATGTTGCTGTGTTTCTGCTTACCTTCTTCAGGTATGTTGGGCCACTCTTGGGTTTGAATAACCCAAGGCATTCACTTGAGGTTGGGGGGTGGAGTGAGCATTAGGGATGTAAAATCCCCATTAATCCGTTAAATCGGGGTAGGGAACCTAAGGGCTGAGGGCCAGATGCAGCCCCTGGATCTGGCACCTCAGGCTTAGGGCCTCCTCTAGCATTGGAAAGCCCGCGCTGGCACTCCAGTCCCATCCCATTCCTCCGCCTCCCTGCAGCCCTGGGTCCCTGACTGATTTTTCTGTGGGTCAGTGACCCCCGACCAAAAAAAGGTTCCTCACCTTATGTTAAATTGGTTAACCAGTTAAGCAAGATTCTCCCTTCACCCTGCTGGGCTGCTGCTGGTGGCCCCCTGTGTGAGGAGAGAAGGGTCATGGCCACGCCTTGCTCCCAGCCCTCTGTGCGCAGAGTTGCTACTACCACCCCCCAACACACATTGGCGGGAGGCGGGAGCTTGCTCCTGGATACCAGTTAACTGGTACCTGGTAGGCATCACCTGGTTCGTGTGATGCTATTGGATAGCTGGTTGCCCATTCATATCCCTAGTGAACATGTGGAGGAAAGGGAAGGGTGTATAAAGAGAATATCTGGCCCTTGGTTCTATAAATAGCTAAATAGTAATAATGATGTGTGGAGGGAAGCATGGTGTCAGTAATGTTGTGCCGGGGTTTCCTGTCTGTTCAGATCACAAAATGTATGCACCCCAGTGTGAATATTGACATATCAGTGATTTTTCAGCCTGTGGTCCACAGACCCCCTGGGGGGGCCTGCAGACTACATCTAAGAAGTCCACAAAAAGTACTTGTTACCATAGACTAGTGGTCTTGAGGGCCAGCTAAGAACCTATTTTTTATTTATGGTGGGAGTTGAAGCACTCCAATGTGCAGCTAGATACTCTTGATTGTTGTTAGTGTGGGGAGGAATGTCCCTGTGGTCTGTGGGCCCTCATGGGTTCCACAGACTGCCAAGGACTTCCAAAAAGAGACCATACCTCCATTCAACATTTTTAGGGGTCCACAAATGAGAAGAAATTGAACACCACTGATATAAATAGTACTCGTGATGAAGGACTTCATTGACCTATCCCTCTTGCTTCGACTCTTCTGTAGTGTAATTCTGCATTGCAGCAAGTGGAGCCTTCCAAAAGCAGGGGAAAATAAACCCTCAATCCCAACAATGAGCGCATTGAATAAGAGCTCTAACCAGTGGGAAGTGCTATGCCATTAATGCTGGTGAACTTTCTTCTCTTTCTCTGCATACTATGTACAGCGAATTCTTCATACAGCGTTCTTGAGGGGAGAGAATATCTGGCCAGTCTGTAGATGAGACCCTGTGGTACTGATCAGCTGACAAAGTGTTTTTGTGTGTGTGTTGATGAGTATATAACGTTTCACTCACCCCCAACTCTCTCCGCCCCCCTTTTTTTTTTAAATCTGTCCCTCCAAATTGAGATGCTGATCACATTCCTAGGCCTGGCTTTCCTCCCCATGCTAACAACAATCAGACTATTCAACTGCAAATTAGAATATTTCCACTCCCACCAAAAGTAAAGAATAGGCTCTTAGTTGGCCCCTGAAGCAGATTGTGTGTGGAATTTGGGGTCCTTTTCACATTCTTATGCAGTGAAGATCTGGCAAACCTGTGTGTGTTCACTCTCTGTCTTGCAGTTACTCACTGCTCCATGCTTCCAGAAAGACATTTAGTAATGTCAAGGTCAGCATTTCCAGCCAATGGACGCCTTCCTGTCTAAATGACACAGCCATTGAGCTCCATCCATATGAGGTAAGAACAGTAAGGCTATCAGCTGGTCTGGCAAGTTTTGATACAGACACGTGAATGCTACCATGTGAATGGACCTAGTATGTGAATGGATTAGCTCAGACCCTGGTGTGAAAGAGATTGGGGGAGGGGGGGGCAGAAATACCCCTTGCTGCTTGAGTACTTGTAAAGATAGCTGAAACAAAATACAGGATTATGTAGCACTTTAAAGACTAACAAGATGGTTTATTAGATGATGAGCTTTCGTGGGCCAGACCCACTTCCTCAGATCAAATAGTGGAAGAAAACTATTCCACTAGTTTTCTTCCACTATTTGATCTGAGGAAGTGGGTCTGGCCCACGAAAGCTCATCATCTAATAAACCATCTTGTTAGTCTTTAAAGTGCTACATAGTCCTGTATTTTGTTTCAGCTACACCAGACTAACACGGCTACATTTCTATCACTATTGTAAAGATAGGAGTTTCAGGTGATCTAAGAGTAGCTCCCATACTATATTCACCGAACCACTAATGATCAGCAGAACCTTTTGTAGTGGGCCACAGAGAGAAACTTTCTGAGAAGTGGGGATTTATGGTGTTGGGATGGGAACTGGATCCTCAGGAATTTGTGTGATAGTCAGCAGAATGAAAAAGATGGAAACCCCACTGGTTTCTGCTTCTGATGCAGCTGTATGAAATGAGTAATGGAGCGAGTTTCATCTAAGAAGTAGAGGTGTTAGTAACATCATGGTTATAGGTTTTTTTTAGTGGTAGTACTTTTGAGTTCCTTCTGTAAGACATAGGAGGATAGAAAATTATGCTACAATCCAAACTAGTTATGTGTAAAGACCAAGATGATCCTAACAGGCTGCCTAAAAGTAGGCTGATATAACCACATTTAAACATTTGATTAAGTAACTGGATTTTCAGAAATGCAAAACACTCAGAAGCTGTTGTAACTCCCAACCTGAGCCACTTAAACAGCATTCAGAGGTAGGTAGGGAGATAGGGAGGGAGGTGGGTGGATGGAGCCACAGATCTTATCCAGCAACTCTGACCCCAGAAGCCTTTCAGCAACATGCCAGTTACACTCTGGCTTCTACCAGCCTTGGTTTTAACACTTGCAAGGTGACCCCAACATACACGCAGGCCCAAAATTTCCCAAAAGTTTGTGTTGTGCACTATGCACCCTCTCCTGAACAGTTTAGAAATTAAAGATCTGTTGCACTTCTAAGGGATCAATATCCAATAGTTTGCTACTTTGAACTGTTTGGTAACCTTAGTTTGAACACAGCACCGGACTAGTTTTGATTTAAAAAAAAATTGAAGTTTAACTACAGAGAGTTTGAGTACAGAGTATTTAAGTCAGAAGTGATTACAAAAGGGATAAAGATAAAATGCTTCCTAATAGCTAAGACTTAAACTAGACTTGGCTCCCAGGTAAAATCCTTACCACTTGTTCCAAGCAACATGGGTGATCAACTTCTCAAGGAAGGATCTGTCCTCATCCTCCAGAGGGCTGGTTTCTTTGTCATCATAGGTGAAAGAACGAGAGAGAAAATTAGAATCCAAAGATTATTACAGTGTACGAATGTAGGGGTTCATTCAGTCACAACGTCCCAGACACATTTCCCCCCCCACACACTTTATTGCAACAGTATTATAACTGTGACTTGCATTTAGTTTGATGCACCATAGCCCCAGATCCTTTTCTGCAATACAGGCAGTCCCCGGGTTACGTACAAGATAGGGACTGTAGGTTTGTTCTTAAGTTGAATCTGTATGTAAGTTGGAACTGGCATCAGCCGCTGCTGAAACTGATCAGTTTCAACAGCGGCTGAATCTGGACACCAGTTCCACTTACATACAGATTCAACGTAAGAACCCCA